GGGGGAGGAGGGTGCCACTTGGGTAAGTGGTGGCAGGGGTGGTGGTGGAGGGGCTGAAGGTGGTGGAGACAGGGCCAGACGGGGCAGCTGGACCGTTTGCAGGGCCGCAGGGGGTGGGGACTCACGCTCCTTGGGCCGTAGGCAGCCCCCTTCCTGGGGATTGCAGGAGGGCCGAGCCCAGGGCTCAGGGCTGCTGGAGCCCCCCTTGCTGTGGGCCGGGGTATCTGTGGGGAGAGAGATACAGGTAAGGTGTGCGTGACCCCCCAGTGCTGTCTGGACTTCCCCTTCCCCCTCGCTTCTTCACCATCCTCCCACCCTACCCCACTCAAGAGTCATCCTTTATTTTAAATCGCTAGAGGCCAGTACGCGGTACAGAGGTTCAGCATTGGACTCCCAGGAGGCCTACCTCGGTTTGAGTCCCGGATGCAGCGCCTGAAACTCATGCTGGGCACGTGTGCATGTGTGCCTGAAATCCCAAGGGAAAATGGAGAAGGGATTGCGACGTGGCCATCTCCCGAAGGGGGGTATTTCTCTCTTCCCCTCCCTCTCTCTCTGGTGAGCGCACACACCATAATAGCAAAAATCTCTCAAAAAATAAAACCAAATTGCTGGAGGGAGAATGTGCTCACCAGAGAGAAGAAAGATGCATGACAGGGAGGGAGGGAGGGGAGAATCACTCCCTAGTAATATGGTGTGGTCGAGCCCCCATCCTGCCTCCACTTCTCCGTCCTGCCCTAATTTGGAGCACATGCCCAGGGTTTTTCAAGCTGCCAGGGCCAGGATTCGAAAGGCAGTAGGCCACGTGGATTCTGCTCCCTTAACCACTGGGCCACGGGCCAAGGCCAAGAGTCATCCTGAAGGCTAAGAACAGAAGGCCATGACAGATCAGCCTCTGACGTGGGAGAGAGGAGGGGGGCTGCACACTCAGGGGTCCTGCAGAGACCCTCCAACCTGGCCGGCAGGATTTTATAGTTCAGCTCCCAGCCTGCTGGGTTTCCAGGGTCTCCAGCCCTGGGTCTCACTCTTGCGCGTGGACTTCGGCCTTCCACGGTCTGTGTGTGGAGGCGCCCAGGTTGCCAGACCCAGCCTGTTTGCTCCCCGGAGCTCCAGACTCGACCTGCAGCTGTGCACCTGGCTGTCTAACAATGTCTCAGCCTCCCCGAGGGCCACTATAGGGGTTGCCTGTTTCCCTGTGGGCAGGGCCCCGCACACCGTAAGTTCTACGGGTCTTACAGTCGCTGTTCTTCCAACGATTAGGTCAGAGGCCAGCAGTCCTCAACTCTTTCTCCAGTATCCACAAAGACTCCTCAGGCTGCCCCAGGCCGTCACAGGCCTTGTTCCTGTCCTCAATCACATCAGTGCCCCTTGGATGAATCTTACAGCATCCAGAGCTGAGCCGCCCCATCTCGGTTGAGGCAGCCGTTCCGCGGCTGGGGCTGACCACATTGACTTGTCTTCTCCCAAGACGCCATCCCCGTGCCAACGCCACTGCTCTGCCTTCATGTGAAATCCAACGTCCCACGCACTGCCTGGCCCCAGCCTGGTCGAAGCAGCATCACTGACTATTGCTGTCACCTCCTCCTGGGCTCCTGGCTGCCACCGCTGCCCCCTACAGTCTTTCCACTGGAGCCTGAGGGCTCCCACCAAAATAAGAGACTTTCAAAAAGTTCACAGAAAAAAAGTACTATGAGAAAACTATGCATGAATTTAAATTTTTTTTTCCCACCAAAATAAACTCATACTTTGGGACCAGCAGTTAGCGTAATGGCTATGTTGCTCAACTCCCATGGAGTCGACCGTTGAGTCCTGGACCTGGTGGCTTAAACTCATGCCAGGGGCATGTGCATGCGTGCCCAAGATCCCAAGAGGAGAACGGAGGAGAAGAGATTGTGGTGTGGCCATCGCCCTTGGGGGGTGATTTCTCGTTTTCTGTCGCTCTGGAGAGCGCATGCACTCTATAGCAAAAACCTCAAAAAAATTAATTAAAAAAAAAAAAAACCCTCATACTTCAATTCCATTTTTCCACACTATTTATTATTATTATTTTTAAATATTTTTGCCATAGGGCATGTGTGCCATAAGGCATGTGTGAGACACGAGAGACAGAGAGGAAATGTGAGAAATTGACCCTGGTGGTGGTGGGGGCATGCTACAATCCCTTCTTCTCCATTCTCCTCTTGGGATCTTGGGCACGCACGCACACATGCCTCTGGGTCAGGGACTTGAACTGTGGTCAGCCATGTGGGAGTCCAACACCTTAACCACCAAGCTACCTGCTGGCCCCACCACACTTTTTTTTTTGAGAGAGACTTTTGCTAGGGCCTGTGCACTCGCCAGAGAGACAGAGATAGACAGAAAATGAGAAATCACCCCCGGGGGGAATGGCCACGCTGTAATCCCTTCTCCTCCATTCTCCTCTCAGGATCTTGGGCACGCACGCACACATGTCCAGCATGAGTTTAAGCCACCGGGTCCAGGATGTGAACCATGGTCAACTACATGGGAATCCAGCAATGTAACCATTATGTCATCTACTGGTCCCCTACCATGCACTTTTTGAAGTCCCCTTCTGTGAGTCAGACTCCAGGAAAGAAGCAAGTCACAAAGAACCGTCCGTCACACGAGCCATTCTTGCGAAATGTCCATGATAGGCCGATCTATAGACAGGAAGTGGACTAGGGGCTGCCTAGGGCTGGGGCAGTGGGGAGACGGGATGGCCAAGAGGGACAGGTTTCTTCTCGGAGTGATGAAATACTCTAGGATGGATGGTGGTGACGCTGCCCACTCTGAGCACACTAAAGCTACTGAGCTGTACACTTTCAGAGGGCAAATTCAACGGTCTGGGAATCACATCTTGATAAAGCTGTTTCTAAAAATACAAGTCAGATATCCTTCCAGATCCTCCTGTGGCTCCCATCTTACTCAGAGTAAAAGCAAAAGCCTCGAGACCCTCTGGGCCGGCAGGTGGTGTGGTGCTTAAGGATGCTGGACTCCCACATGGCCAACTATGGTTTGAGTCCCGGACCTGGTGGTTTTCTTTCTTGCTTTCTCACTTTTTCTCTCTCTCCTCACTCTCTCCCTTCTCTGGTCAAATTAAAATAAAGTTAAAAAAAAACAAAAAAAAGCCTCTGGGGGCCGGCGGCAGGTGGCATGGTGGTTAAGGGTGCTGGACTCCCACATGGCCAACCATGGTTCGAGTCCCAGACCTGGTGGCTTGCTTTCTCACTTTCTCTCTCTCTCTCCCCCTCTTCTCCCCTCTGGCCATATTAAAATAAATAAAATTAAATAAAATAATTAAAAAAAAAATAAAGCCTCGAGACTTCCAAGGCCCTACTGCCTCTCTGACTTTACCTCCCACCACCCCCTCTTCTCACTCCATCATTATGGGCTCCATCATTATGACCTCTTGGCTGGTCCTCAAATACACTAGGCCCGATCCTGCCTCAGGGTCTTTGCACTTACTGTCTCCTGGCCTGGAAAGGTCTTGCCCCAGACACCTGCCTGGCTCCCTCCTTCACCTTCTTCGGGCCTCTGCTCAAATGCTGTCTGCCCTGGAACACCTTCCTCGCCCATCACCTGAAGTAGCTCCTGCCCCAATCCCCTCTCTCCCCTTGGCCTGCCTGAGTGCGGTTGGGTACCCATCTCCCCCTGGCACGGTCCCCGCTGCGTTTGCTGCCTGTCCTCTCCTGATGTGAGGTCCAGCAGGCCCGGCTTTGGCGTCGCCATGCTCCCTGTTTACCCGGTGCCTGGAACAGCGTCCAGCAGGAGTTTTTTCTTCATGAGGTAAGAACTGTGACTTTGGCTTCCCGAGGGCTGAGGTCAGGTCCAACCCCTCCGCCACAATTCCCCAGCACCCACAGGGGAAGTCCAGCCTCTAACTGAAGCCAGAGGCTTCAGCTCTTACCACCACCTCTTCCTGTCCCTTTTCCCTGCCTCAGTGCACCTGCCATTCCCCAGATCAGGACTCACCGCTTCTGTAAGGCCCCTTGGCCAGCTCCGACGTTCCCTCCTAAGGACGCCTGCCTCTCACACCGAGGCCAAAGCAGATCGCCCCACTGCGCTCTCAAAAACAGCCAGTCAACTCACCTGGAATGTTGGGGCTGCAGCCTCTCCGGGCCAGCCTGCTGGGGGGAGGCTGCAAGAGGGCCAATGGCTGCGTCTAACAGCTACTGGACAGTGTCCCCCACCAGACCCTGGACTAAGCTCTCCCACCACACCATCTCACCGTCCTCCCAGCCATTCTCCGGGGAAGCTGCCATTGGTACCGTCACATCATTTTACAGAGGTGACTTAAGGCCCAGCCAAGTGTCACAGAGCTGATGAACAGAGGAGATATTTGGAGGCCAGCAGGGATGTAAAGGGTAAGGTGCTGGACTCCCACATGGCTGACTGTGGTTCAAGTCCCAGACCTGGTGGCTTGAAAATCATGCTGGGTGCTTGTATGTGTGTGTGTGCCCAAAATCCCAGGAGGAGAATGGAGAAGGGATTGAGATGTGGTCATCCCCGCAGAATGATTTCTTACTTTTTCTCCATCTCTCTGGCAAGTACGTGGATCCTACAGCAAAAAAAAAAAAAAAAAAAAAAAAAACCTCTCTTAAAAAAAAAGAGAAAAAGAAAAAATAAGTTTGCTGTCTCTGTTCTGATTCAGTGGAGCCACTTCCTAGATAGAAACACTAAGGTTGTATTAAAATTGAAAGTAAGGGGACCAGCAGTTAGTGTAATGGCTGTGTCACTGGACTCCCATGTAGTCAACTGCAGTTCAAGTCTTGGACCCGGTGGCTTAAACTCACACTGGGCGCGTGTGCGTGCATGCTCAAGATCCCGAGAGGAGAATGAAGGAAAAAGGATTGAGGTGTGGCCATCCTCCCCGGAGGGTGATTTCTCCCTTTCTGTCTCTCTGTCTCTGTCTTTCTGGCGAGTGCATGTACCCTATAGCAAAAACCTCTCCAAAAAAAAAAAAAAAATTCAAGGTAAGGAGGCTGGCAGGTGGTATGGTAGTTAAGGCACTGGGCTCCCACATGGCCGACCACAGTTCAAGTCCCAGACCTAATGGCTTGTTTTCTTACTTTCTTTCTCTCTTTACTCAAATTATAAAAATAATGGTAATAAATAAAAAACAAATAATTCTTTTAAAAAGAAATGAAAACAAGAATCCCAAATGACACTGCTTAAGATACTTTCATGCCTCCTAAATGCCCTCCATGATGAAATCCAAGGTCCTGACCTTGACTTACAAACCACAGGTAGTCTAATTCTGGCAGAGCCCTGAACTCTCAGTCAATATTAGCATTGCCGTTAGTGTTCCACGGTCTGGTCCTGCGGTTAAAACAAGCGGCGGGCCTGGGAGTTGAAGACACACCTGTTGGAGTGCCCACGTCTACTGTGATACCTACATGCTGTGTGACCTTGGGCGGATGAACGAACCTCTGCGTCACAGGAGCTTGATCTCATTTGTCTAATCAAGTCCATGCTCTCACCCCATTTCAAAACCCGCCAGTAGCTCCCCACAGCACTTAGGAGAAACCCCTGACTCCTCCCTAGGGCCTGAAGGCCCAGCATGGCCTTTGCCTAACCTTTGTGAGTTCTTCTCCAAACATTTACTTTCTTGAATCCTTCCATGCTATTACTCCCACTTTCCCTAGAGGGATCTTTTCTTTCTTGTTAAATTTAAATTTACTTATTTATTTATTTAAACTTGACCAGAGAGGGACACAGACAGGGAGGGAAAGTGAGAAAGCAAGCCGCCAGGTCCGGGACTTGAACCATGGTCGACCATGTGGGAGTCCAGTGCCCCTAGCCACCATGCCACCCACTGGCCCCATCATTTAGATAATTATTTTATGTATTATTTTTTAATTTGATGAAAGAGTGGGAAACTGACAAGGCAAACTGCCAGGCCATCTCAGTCAGCCCATGTGGGTGCCCAGAGCCTTAACCACCATCCCACCTGTTGGCCTGGGGGAACTTTTCCGTTTCCCAAGCTTGACAGGTTTTCTTGCCTCCAAGTCTTTGCACACACTGCTCCTTCTCCCAGGGGCACTTTTCCAGCTCTTCATTCTTACTCTTTGCAGCTCAGCTCTGACATTTCCTCTAGGAAGTCCTCCTTGACCTCCTGGGTCCGGAGACCCCCCTCTGGGCTCCCACACCCCATCCTTGCCTGCTCTGAGTCATTACTGTCTCCCCTACAGGGCCATCCCAGTTATCAACATGTCCCCAGCATCACCTGGGACAGGGCAGATGCTGCCAAAAGAACCATGGAACACACATAATCCAGGGTCTCCGTTGAGCTCTCTAGAGGGGAAGTTACCAAACCTCTCCGACTTACAAACTGGTGAGAGCACGGACCTTGCAGCTCTGATAGCAACTTCAAGAACTATATTAGCTTGTTTTGGGAATGGCAGGTGGTGTCGTGGTTAAGGGCGCTGGATTCCCACACGGCTAACCGTGTTTCGAGTCCAGGACCTGGTGGCTTGCTTTCTTACTTTCCTTCCCTCTCTCTTACTCTGTCCCTCTCTGGTCAAATTAAAATAAAATAAGTAAATGAAGTTAATTCAAAGAAAAGCATTTTTTAAAAAGTTATAGTACAAGTATTTAAAAGAATTATTATTAAACCACTATAAAAAATTAGTAGAAAAACTGGTAATGTTTGAAGTCTATCAATTAGATAATATTGTTGCATCAACATTTATTTCCTGATTTGGATTATCATATCATGGTTATATAAGAGAATGTCCTTGTTTCTAGGAAACATGAACTCAAGTATTTAAGGTTCGAAAGGTATGATAGGCCCAGCTGCAGTAGTGCAGATGATAGGGCACTGCTGTGACAGCCATATGGGAAGTCCAAGTTCAGATAAAAAAAAAAAAAAAGAATGAATAAAATTAAAGACTTCTTTAAAAAAAAACAAACTTATATTAGCCTGTTTCATTTGCAGAGCAACCCTCTAAGATGAGGATTATTTTATCTCCATTTGACAGAGGCAGACACTGGGGTAACTTGCCCAGAGGTCACAGATGGAGCCCAGCCCTCTGCTGCAGGGCCCCCATCCTACACTGCACTGAATGAAATCCTGACTGAGCACCCCAGGCGTGCACCTGAGCCGGGTCTTTCGAGTCTGGTTCCAAACCTGACTATGACTAGCGTGGGACTCAGACCTGACGAGGCATTTCGCTTTTCTGAGCTTCCGCTTGTCCAAGTGTGAAATGGGGGTAATAAGGGCACCCACCTCTCGGGGTTGTGGTCAGCATTACTCAACTACAGGAGACGAGGGCTGTGTGAGTGTTCTGCTCTTCTTAAGGCAATGGTGCAGGGACTCACTCACCTGACCGACGTTCCTCCTTGCGGTCCTCCAACACGTGGCGTTGGGTGCAGGCGCTGGCAACTGGAAGCTGGGAGGAGGCAGCGGCAGGGGGCTCCTCAGAGCCGGAACCAGCCCCTGACCCCGCCACACCAGGCCCAAGAATGGCAAAGATGGTCTCCTCCTCCGCGGAGAAGGCGTCCTCGGCGGCGGGCCCCGCGCCCTGCGTGGAGTGCGGCACACGGGCCAGCTTCTCCTTGGTGCGGCGCTTGAAGTCGTTCCAGCGCTTCTGCACCTCCTGGCCCGTGCGCTTCCAACTGGTGATGCCGTTGATCTTGGCCCCCCCCCCCCGGCGCCGCCGCTCAGCCACGCTCACCCGACGGCTCTGCGCGCCATAGAGCTGCGGGTAGTGGGCGCGGACCTCACGGATCAGGATCTGGTTCTCTTCGAACGAGAAGCGTGGCTTACGCAGCCGGGTGGTCTCCTCCGGTTCTCCCGCCGCCGCTGAAGCCATGGCGCCCCCCGACGCCACCGTCCGACCGCCAGGCGCATGGGGGGGCGCCGGCGCTGCAGGCATAAGGGCGCACAGCACTGGCTGGAGTTCCGGGACCCCGCCCCGCCCCGTGGCTCCTACGTCCCACGTGCAGAGGTGCGGGCAGGGGGCGGAGG